GTAGTTATAGAGACAATCATTGGTACATTTATTATGATATGACAGCGAGAAAGTATAATCCCGTAGAATCCGAGCAAAGTGTTTGTCTTAAAATATAAACTCCATGGTAAGTGACACAGATAAAGTTAAATATTTCATGTAAGCTGAATTATTTGTAAAACACTGCACTGGGGTAACGAACAGAAACACTGGCAGCATTCGCTACTGGCCACTGAACTATCTGTGTCAGTACGGTGTACTGTCTCAGAGCAGTAGTGGAGCGGGGAATCTGCTGAGGGTAGGGGGGGGGTGGTATCTGTAGACGTAGCACCATCTATTTGATGGAATTAGATTTTTTTGTTTGAGCCAGAACTATCTCGCCAGACGTTGGGATTCTGAATATGCTCATACGGCGGGCAGTCAAGAGACGCAGGTAATTCCCGACGGTTAATGTGATGTGGATCTGCTGTATCGCACTGCGCATCTATTGACGAATATGTCATTGTTTTCGAATTTTTGACTTATATAATCTTAATACTAATACATTTTTTAAATTTTTTCTCAGCCAGAAGGCACCATGCCCCAGACGTGCGTGATTGCTGAAGTATATTCTTCAGTAGCGGCGATTGAGTGACAAAATCCAAGGGCGAAAAGAGCGAGGATTCAAACAAACATACGACGAACACACGACACAGCAGATTAGCCAATATAGTATACGATATACTGTGTGTGTGTGTGTGGGTGTTGTGTGTTGTGTGTTGTGTGTGTGTTGTGTGTGTGTGGTGTGTGCTGGTGTGTTGTGTGCGTGGCGTGGCGTGCGTGCGTGCGTGCGTGCGGTTGCGTGCGTGTCGTGCGTGCGTGCGTGGCGTGCGTGCTGGTGCTGTCGTGTGTGTGTTTCCTTACATCATGTGCACCACCACACCCCTGAAACGACCCATAGATCTATTGCTTTCGCGGACAGATCCATGGTGACGGTCACTCCGCGCGCTGAAATAGGTTTACGGTCGATTACGTCATGGGCAATACACGTCGCCACCGAAGCGGATCGTTCTACTTCCCGATCACACCGTGGATTCGGCGCTACCACACTCACGCTTCCAATAGAGGTTTGACACCCGCAGTCTACCTCAAGCGACGACGACGTAGGCAGAAGGTTCCGTAAGCAGGAGCTGCTAGAGAAAGCAGACTTACGAGTTTCGTGCTGGCCACTGATTCCGGATTCCCGACACCAGCGGCGAAGATGCTGCGCAGCGCGACGAGAGTCTTCTCTAATGTATGTAAACAAAGGTGCGTGCGTGCGTGGCGTGCGTGCATGTGAGTGGAGAGAATTGCATGATGAAGATTCTTCCTCTTTTCTTTCCTCATTCCCAACGCGAATCCGCAGATTTCTTTCTGCTGTCTTTCTGCGCAGTCTCTCTCCTCCGCGCTCTATCTCGCGCGCTCATCTCTCGCCTGCTCGGCATCTCTGTCTGTCTCTTTCACGAATCTCTTTCCGCGCTTACTCCTCTTTGCTCGTTCCTTATTCATTTATAGTGTGATTTAAATGTTTGAAATACTATCACAAACTAGCTTAACAGTAGACTCAAACCAGGGGTTAAAAGAGCGGGCACCGGTAATCGTTTTTAATATTATCGCTTATCGGTTATAGCTGGTCTATTCTCTCTCTCTCTCTATCTCTCCTCTCTCTAATATATATGTAATATATATATAAGATATTAGTATTGTATATGTAGTGGTGCTTCGGGTTTCGTCGTGTTGCAGTGGGAACCTCGTGGCCCGTAGGTACAGACTCTGCCGAGAGCGCCATCATCGCGCGACTTGTCAAGGACTGGAAATTCCCTGGAAAGACATCAAGGAAGCATGTTCAAAGTTCAAACACTTCCCTCTCGCCGCGAGTCAGTGAAGTCCCAACCGCAGGCCACGCGCGCATGCGCCCGCCTATGCGTGCATTGACGTCGTCAGTGGTGACGTTATATTATTTTTAATCTGATATAGGCATCTGTTGTCTACGGTGATTTACAGGGAAACGGTATGAGTGACGACAACGAATGGACTATTTTGTAAACTATTACCCTAGTCAGCCCACTTACGCTCCATCATCTGTTGGATAGACGCTTCAAAAAACAATGCTTGCAACGAAGTGCTCGTAAACTTCACAACTATGGCGTGTACGCCGTGAAAAAAAACGAACACTTAACTTGTCTAGTTTACCTAACTAACTCCGTAACTAGTAGGCAATAACCAATATTGGTTTCGTTGTCTTCCTTCATCCGAGGAGAGGGTAATAATGTCGTCTACCTGTCTGATTAGTCAGTGTTGTCGTGGCAGTGCGTGAATGATTTTGTTCAAACGGGACGAGCATATTCGCAGACAAGCGCTGCAGGCTCAATCGCCGGGTCGCCATACTAAAACTCTGCACGGAATACCCCGACAAGTACGGTCGACCTCTATCTGCACTACCGCTGCGTGCGCCACGTGTGCACTACTAGCTGTAAACTGTCGGTGAGGGGCGTCATCCAGAAACATCTCGTAGCTCTAAAAGCGATAGAAGAGGATTATTAATATTTATTACATTCTCGTAGGAAAATGTTCGCCATATTACGACTAAACTTATTGAAGACTACCCGAATAACTACTTGAAATATTAGTGACATTCAGCGTTTCGTAGCTGTCGTGTGAGGCGTCCGGTTCTGAGCAAGAGATGTATCAGTGACCACGGTATATAACATCAATCTGCCTCCTCCTTCCTCCCCGCCGTCCTGCAGCTTCTTACAGAGAGTATCAGTGACACGGGTATAAGCATGCACATCTACGCTCCTCCCTTCTCCCCGCTCCCTGTCAGCTTCTACAGAGATGTATTACTGACACGGATATAGAACACACATTGGCCTCCAGCTCTCTTCTCGCCCGCCTCCCCTGCAGCTTCTTACAGAGATGTATTTAGTGTACACGGGTATAAACACTATCCCTCCTCCCTCCCCTACTCCCGCAGCTCTACAGAGATGTATTACTGTACCACGGGTATATACATCTACATCTGCCTCCTCCTTCTCCCCGCTCCCTGCATGCTTCTTACAGGAGATGTATTCTGATCACGGGTATAACATCACATGAGCCTCCTCCTTTCTCCCCGCTCCCTGCAGATTCTTACAGAGATTGTAATCAGCCGACACGGGTATACACACAACACCTACCCTCCTCCTTTCCCCACTCCCTGGCAGCTTCCTTACACAGCAGATGTATCATCACACGTATAACATCACATCTACCTCCTCCCTTCCTTCCACCTCTCCCTGCAGCTTCTACAGGAAGATGTATCAGTACACGGGTATAACATCACATCTGTCCTCCTCTCCTTCTCCCCGCTCGCCTGCAGCTTTCTTAAGCAGAAAAGAAAATGTTATTTAAACGACACGGTATTAACATCAACATCTGCCTCCTCCCTTCTCATCCCGCTCCCTGCAGCTTCTTACAGAGTATGTAATCAGTGACACGGTATCTAACATGCACATCGCACTGCCCCCTTCTCCCCACTCCCTGCAGCTTGCTTAACAGAGATTATTACTGACACGGGTAAGAACATCACATCTACCTCCCTCCCTTCTCACCCGCTCCCTGCAGCTTCTTACAGAAAGATGCTATTAGGACACGGATATGACATCACGATCTTCCTCCCATCCCTTCTCCCCGATCACCTGCACTTCTGTACAGAGGCTATCATTGATCAACGGTATAGACATCACATCTACTCCCTTCTCCGCTCCCCTGCACTTTCTCATACAGAGATGTATTACGGACATCGGTATGAACATCACATCTGCCCCCCTTCTCCCCCGCTCCCTGCAGCTCTTAACAGAGAGTATTATGAGCACCGGTAAACATCACACTGCCTCCGTCATCCTCTCCCGCGCTCCCGCACTTCTACAGGAGATGTAATTACTGACACGGGATAACCATCACAATCTACCTCCTCCCTTCTCCCACCGCCCCCAGCTTCTTCATCAAGAAGATGTATTACGGGACACGGTATAGACATCACATCTGCCTTCGCTCCCTTCTCCCCGCTCCCTGCAGCTCTGTACAGAGATGTATACTGGACACGGCTATAAGCATCACATCTGCCCCAGCCCTTACTCCCCGCTCCCGCAATGCTTCTTTACAGAGATGTATCAAGTTGACACGTATAACATCCACGATCTAACTACTCGCCTCTCCCCACTCCCCTGCACTTCCTAAAATGTGTATCAGTGACACGGGGATAGCACATCACATCGTACCTCCTCCCTTCTCCACGCTCGCCTGCAGCCTTCTACATAAGATGTATTCAGTGGACCACGGATAGACATTCACATCTGCCTCCTCCCTTCTGCTCCCGCTGCTCCTGCAGCTTCTTACAGAGATGTATTATTAACTGTACGGGTATAGGACATTACATTCTGCCTCGCTCCGCTTCTCCTGGACCGCTCTCCCTCATCTTCTTACAAGATGTACTCAGTGACACGGTATAACATCACATCTGCCTCCCTCCTTCTCCCCACTCCCTGCAGCTTCTACAGAGATGTATTACTGACACGGGGTATAACATCACATTCTTACCTCCTCAGCTTTCTCCACCGCTTCCTGGCAGCTTCCTTACAGAGATGTATATAGGTGACACGGGTATTAGACGATCACATTCGCCTCTCTCCGCTTCTCCCCGCCGCCTGCATGCTCTTACAGAGATGTATCATTACACTGGTATAACATCACATCTACCTCCTTCCTTCTCGCCCGCTCGCTGCCAGCTTTCTTACAGAGATGTATCAGTGACAGCGGGTAATGACATCAGCATCATACGTCGTCCCCTTCTCCCCGCCCCTGCAGCTTCTTACAGAGATGTATCAGTGACACGGTATAACATCACATCTAGCCTCATC